GCCAGAGGGCAGGAACAGATGGGATATTGGGAAGGAATTCCTGGCTGGGAGGTGCTGAGACACTGGCACAGGGTGCCCAGAGCAGCTGTGGCTGCTCCATCCCTGGGAGTGTTCCAGGCCAGGTTGGATGGGGCTTGGAGCAACCTGTGTCAGTCTTGAGTTTGGGTTAAAATATGTGAAACAACTTCATTATGGCTCTGGAAGTCTTCTCTTTTCAGGCCTTCAGGTCTCAGGCTGTGTGTCAACACAGTGATTAAACAAAGTGCTCCGTATCATACACAAATGGGTTTGTTAAAGATACTGAGATGAAATGGGCAGAAGTTCAATTAAGGAAGGGGAAAAAAAAGAAAAGCCTAACTGCAGCAGAAATGGATTGAAAAGAGGCAAAGAAAACTTCCCAATTTGCCTTTCAGGGCACAGGATAATCTTTGCTGCTGAGGCTTTGAGTCCTTCTGTGGGGGAGGATGAGAAGGGAAAAGAAGTCTTTAAATTAAAAATTCTCCCCTGATTCTCAAAGGTGCCAAACAGCCCAAGCTCTCGGTTCCTTTGGTGGGTGGAGCAGGTGCTGAGCTGAGCTGAAGTCAAGCTGAGCTCATTTTTGTCTTTCCCAGCACTAACTCGAAGCAAAGGGCACATTTGTCTCTTTTGTGTGCAAGTCAAATGTCTTTTTGCTTTGTCAAATAAACTGTTAACTACATAACTATTCAATTTAATTAAAAAAAAGTATTAAATAGGTTGCATGAATGTTGCTCTCATATTGAATCTGGTCAGGGCTTGAAGAGCTAAAGGGCTTAGAAGAACAAATTCAATGCCCAAGTCAGTCCTGGCTGCAGTAAAAACACTTTCAGCACATTTGTAATGAACATATAGGTGATGTATCTCTGGTGAAATTAAATGAGGGATCTCAAGTTCTCCTGCTTCTTTTGATAATCTTTTATCAGTTTGGATGACACAAGATCTCTCAGAACTTTAGCTGCCTGCAAATCTGAAGATTTTCAGCAGAGAGTAAAACATGTTCTTGTGCTTTGAGGTCCCAGTGCAGACAAAACAGTGACCTTCTCAGGGGCTGGAGGAATTTATTTTCTCACACAGACCTTTGAAATCAGAGCTGTCTAGAGAAATAATTCTCTTATTCCTCCACAATGTGTTCTTTAAGAAGCTTCTGCTCTTGCTTTTTCTCCAGGGAAGATTATTTCAGGGGCAAACATGGTAAAAATGCTTTTACTCATGGTCAGATCTTGTTTTTCTCTGCCTGAATTATAGCATTATTTGTATTTTCTGTGGCTCTGTGTATGTCTCAGGGCTAATTGGATAGATTTAAAGTTAAAATTGAAGTTCTCTTTAACTTCCAGCTCTCCCAGCCTGGCTCCATGGCAGAGCTGCTCCAGCCCTTGGAACACCTTCCACAGCAGCAGATAAGACTTTAAAGTGGGGAGGATCTAACTCTGTAAGCAAAGACCATTTCACAGGGCACATGCCTAAGGGATCTCAATCAAAGAGAAAAAGGAACTTGGTGAGATTATTTGCTACCATTTTAGTGGCTTATTTAGTTAGCAGAATTCTAGAATCCAAGCCCTGTCCAACCTGGCCTGGAACACTCCCAGGGATGTGCATAATGCATATTTGTATTTCTGTGGAGCCTGAGGAAATGATGTGACAGAACTATTTCCAGACTGTATTTAGGGAAATGACCAGTGCACTTTTACCTTGAGGATCAGGGAGGACTTCTAACACAAAACTCCATCTGTGGATGATGGGAAGTTTATCTCTAAACCAAGATCTGAGTGAATTTCAGTGGCGATCTGAGCCAAGAAACACTTCAGCTAAGATAACAAATGATTTCTTGATAACTGGAGTCTCCTGTAGGATTAAAACTCCTTGGCATATCTAGCAGCTCAGCTGATCACTTGAACCACAATTAAACAGCAGACCAGGTCCCCTCAGAATATTGTTTTTGTGTCAGAACTGCTCCTTCAGCCTTGAAAATGATAAAAAATTGCAATCGATCCTTACAACTGTTGTGTTCATCTTTATTGATCAGCAAAAGAAAGATAAATCACAGCCCAAATAAGCTGATAGTAGATGTTAGCATGGGAGGGGCCTGGGGGGTGATGGAGAGCTATTCATCATCTCCTGGGCCGACCTGGCTGTGCTGGGCCTGGTGTCGCCGCTGTCTCATCCCATCCCTATTGATCCCATCTACAGCCACGTGCCTGGCATTGGGCAGCTGGGATTGCTAAATGCACGGGGGTCACTGGTGTGAGGAGGATTTCATTTTCATTTTCTTCCCTGGCCAACGATGATTTATGATAAAATAAATGAGCCCAAGTTCCTTGGTTCCAGCACAAATGAGTTATTAGGTGTGCAGCTCCCAGGCAGGAGCTCTGCCAGGCTCTGTGCTCCTTGGGAGCTGTGCCTGACCTCTGACTGCAGCAGGGCTCACACAATTTGTTATCATTTGGGGCAAAAGATTAGCCTCGTGATACAATTTTACCTGTGTCTGGAGTTGGAATTTTATCTGGTGATTTCGGTGCGTTCCAGTGTTAGAATTCACAAAGAGGAACGTTGGAAGGTGAAATCCTTTAATGGAAAGGGAAGATGTTTTTCCTTTCGTTTTTGTTTCCTTAGTCCTGCCTCTTTTGGAGTTTCCACCAAGTGTTTCTGCTGGAGAGGTTCTCTTAACTGCATCCCTCATAACAAGGTTTGGCACAGACAGATGTTCCTCAGGACGTGTTTACTAACCCAGTGACCAAGGATCCTGTGTCACCTTGGACTTTCCTGGAGCAGTGATCTCTCCACTTGCAGGGGTTTACATTTTCCCCCCTAAAAGTGTTTTAGCCTTCTTGCTTTTTCATACATCAATCTCTTAGATAAATAAACTGCTTATTTTACCCCAAATTAAATTGGAATGGCACTTTGCATGTGCCAGCCATGTATGTTATAGAATCACAGAATGGTTTGGCTTGGAAGGATCTTAAAAATCATCTAGTTCCATCCTCCTGCTATGGGCAGGGACATCTTCCACCAGCTCAGGGTGCTCCAAGCCCCATCCCATCCAACCTGGCCTGGAACACTCCCAGGGATGGAGCAGCCACAGCTGCTCTGGGCACCCTGTGCCAGTGTCTCAGCACTTCCCAGCCAGGAATTCCTTCCCAATATCCCATCTAGTCAGTCTGAAGCCATTCCCTGTGTCCTGTCCCTCCATCCCTTGTCCCAAGTCCCTCTGCAGCTCTCCTGGAGCCCCTTGAGGCACTGGAAGGGGCTCTGAGGTCTCCTTGGAGCTTCTCATCTCCAGACTGAGCACCCCCAGCTCTCCCAGGCTGTGGAGACATGTTAAATGTTTTAAAGATTCAGAATCAATATTGAGGAATTAATAACTTTAAGCCATGGTATAAAGTCACAGGTTGTTAAAGTAAGGATTCAGACTGGGTTGATGCAATCACACGGTGTGTGATTTTGGAGAGATTTGTTGCCGTGTTCACATGACTCCCTGGGATGGTGAATGACTTCAAGTTAACAGGAGAGTTCTTGCAAGTGCCAGCACAACCTTTCTGCATCTCCTTGACCTGCTTCCCCCATCATCCAGAGAAAAATGGGTTGAGAGAAGTTTTGAACTGCCTTAAGTTTTCTTTACTCCTCCAACTGTGCAGCCAGGTGCTCCGTGATTACAGCTGAAGTCCAACTGTGCTGAGGCTATATAAACCTCCTGAAAAATGCCAAGTATATATTATTTAGACATGAAGCATCATAACATTGCAGTGATTTGTCTCTGGATATAGGATCATAGAATTCTCTAGGCCGGAAAAGACCTCTAAGAACATCAAGTCTAACCATTCCCAGCACTGCCAAGATCACACTGACCATGTCCCCAAGTGCCACATCCACATGGCTGTGAGATCCCTCCAGGGATGGTGACTCCACCACTGCCCCAGGCAGCTGTGCCAGGGCTGGACAGCTCTTTCCAAGAAGGAATATTCCCCTAATATCCAATCTATACCTCCCCTGACACCACTTGAGGTGTTCGCCTTGTGCTGCCCCTTTTTCCCTGGGAGCAAACACTGAGACAAAGGAGGGATTTAATTTCTCAGCCTTTTCCTTATCCTTTGCCTCACTGTGTTTCCCCCCACATCCAGCAAAGGATGGAGGTTCTCCTTGGCCCTTTGTTGCTGTTATATTTATGGAAGCTTCTTTGATCATCTTTTATGGCTGTGGCCAAGTGGAGTTCTAGTTGAGCTTTGGCCCTTCTCATTTTCTCCCCGTATGACTTCACACCATCCTTGTATTCCTCTGGAATATCCTCCCCCTTCTTCCAAAGATTAGAAACTCTCCTTGCCATTTTTCCCTGTAGAGAAGATCTGGAGCTTGATGGTCTTGTCCCACCTGCATTTGGGAAGTGAATGATTTGGAGGAGCTGAGTGAAAGGCAT